CTTAGTTGGTTCCCCTCTTTTGCTCTCCAGGCTACTGCAGCCTTCAAACACCAAGGCCATTCCCGATCAGGCACACTCCTCTGCCCATCGTTTGGGCCCATGCCCTTCGACCTCCACGCTTCCCAATATGCATTACATTTTCTTTATCTACTAGAAGGGTGATGCCTCCCATCACCAGCCCTTCCAACCTTCACACACACTCACACACCCTCCATTCTCGTTTCCAAAGCCACCTTCTATGAATCATCACCCTCTTGAACTCGGATAACTTCGCCGCCTATTGCACACCCTCTCATTGACCAAGATACCTCAAACGTCAGCCGCGTCTGAGAATGAGATACAAGTCTGCCTGCGTGACCTTTGATTGACACCCACCACTGCCACACGGCTACAACCACAGCATTGGTCAGCCTGTGGCCTTGCAATACCCTCCCAGAGGGAATATAAATCGTCACCCTCCAGCCGTTTTTGGACGAACCTCTCCCTCCTCAGCCTTTCTCGCCACTCGAACCCTACTATCTTTCCCTCGCAAAGTCGTACAACAGACCAAAACCATGGATTTCCTTCTCGGAGACTTCTGCCTGTCCTGCGATCGTCAGACCAACGGCACAAACTTCTGTTCCTCGGCATGCCGTCTCACACAACTCGATCACTATACCCTGGCGTCGACGCCATCCTCCTCTCCCCGTGACACCAGTATCACCACGTTCTTCTCCCCAGCACAACGCCCTTCACTGTACATCAGCACGAACACGACCGGTCTCTACCTTCCGCCAGCATACGACTTTTCCATTCACCGGACTTCGTCTTCGAACTCGCTCGCTACGTCCCAGATCTCTCGCCCAGTCAGCCCGAAGCTATCCGAACAAGCCCAGAATGATCTGAAGGACTATGTAGGATCGTTCGACCAGACAAGGACCTTGAAAAGACGAGTGTCAATGCAAAGCAATGAAGACATAAAAGCCTCTTGGCGAGGGCCATGAACCAGCATTTTCAATTTGCCGCTACGAAATACTATGGGAATACGAGGTTGACGATTGGGGACACTCACGTTGGGCCTTGGGAGGAACGAGATGATCAATACCAGCTTTAATCTCATTTTGGTTTATGCATAGCCTGGAGAATATGGGATAAAAAGTTTAATGCATTTCACCGGCGTTGGTTTGACTTGACGAAAATGAAGGGGACCTGGGAAAAATATGGAGCGGTTGCCAGCGTTTTTCATCCATGACAGGGTTTAAGAGCAGCGCATGCATATGGTGTTCTTCTGCTGTTGATGACGACGGGCTCTGTTGTTGCTGGGGTCGGTCAATATTGTGCATCAAGCGTTCAGATCGGGCTGGGTGTGGTGTGGGAAACAAGGTGCTGGGATTGAATCGAGTTGATGCCCTTCGGTCGTTTGATATCAAGATGTTACATTATGCAATGCGAGATGCGAAGCCGTGACGGGTGCTGATGGGACGAGGGAAGGTTGGAGAGAAGGATGGAACCAGTCATCGAGGGAACACATTCTCTTCTTTTTCCTTACTTTTTGCTGCCTTGTGGCCAGAAAGTTGATGTATCAGGAGCACAGCACTCGCCTCCTCTTTGCTTTTCCTTTGTTCATTGCAGAAACGGGCTGAGTGAACTTTGTTATCATGTCGCTGTTTCAACCAAACTGGCAGAGCAAAATCTCGACTATAGCATGACAATATCATCTGGGACCCGCGAAGCTCATTGAGTTGAGCGGGGGGCCCTTTTGAGAAGACAGGAGCTATAGCATGCCCAACAACTGACTTATCAGGGCAGGATTTTCCTCCTGTTCCCTCGAGTCTTCTCGCTCTCTTGCTCTTTGATCCTTGTGTTCTCTATCAATCCTCCCTGAAAACACCGGGCCACCTGTTTAGCCCAGGCCAGTCCTCCCACCTATTCTGGAAAGTCATTCGGACACTATCTCCGCCACAAAGCAAAGCCAACCAGCGATCCTCGCCCCTCCGCTTCCTGCACGGCGAGGCTAAGTTTCCTCCCTTTTTCCCTCGCGCAAGCAGCCAGGAAACGATTGCGGACCCCCAACTACGGAGTAATACGACTACAGCCCGTCTCTCCCTTCCCGTGCAACCGACGGCCTGATCGATTGATTGATCGATCGCTCCATCCGCAGGAACACATCTCCCTTGTTCACTGCGTTGTGTACGAGGTGCTCAGGTACATCTATTTCCTATCTGTGGATGTGTACCTGCGTACAACAATCGTGTAGATGAGGAAGTGTGGTTTTCCAGAGATCTACATTGCACTTCCCCCACCCGTACGGAGGCCCTGTTTTATCAACACTGCGCATTGGAGGGCGGTATAGAAGGTGCTCTGTGCTCAGTAGTCTGAATTCTGTGTCGTGCACCGAGTACGACTAATGACACCGCCGCGGACGAGCAATGATCCCTCGCCTCCTCCCTCATCACCACCAACACCAACCCTCTTGGTCAGTAGTCGTCATCAAACCCATCTACGTCCATTCCTCCCATCTCATGATGCAATTTATTTGAGTGCCTGACTGCCTGGTGCCGGGAATTATTCCACTTTTACATCCGGCAGACTTGCGCGTGACAGGACTTCTTCTCTGAATTGGAGTAAAGGCTACGATTGAACACACCATCCCTAGACCTTTTCCATTCCTACAAGTAGTTGACATAATCTCTGGGCAAGAAAAAGGGGTCTTTGTCACACAGATCGCACCGAAGCGCACCGAAGTTCGTCAACAGAACTTGATTTGAAATCTCGCTAGTCTCTCGCGAGCCGCGTGTGTCTTCAGGAATGACCGCAAGAAGAAACATGGACGGGGGCAGTGATCATCAGCCTGGGGGTCTGCCGTCGTCTGCTCTCCCTTATCCCCTATACCTCTTCCTCCTCCCTCCTTCTTTTCCTCTCACACACCCCTTTTTCTTTTTCCTGTCGCTTTCGCCCGTCATTTGACACCCGCCGCAACGGGCCCAAAATAACTGACACTACTGGACTCACCGCCACCAATTTGCTTTTTTTTTCTCTCACCACCCCGGTCTCTCTGGCTTTTGCGGGGTAGGATCGTCTATTCCAGCGTGTGACTCCCCGGAAAACCTGAAAGCGAGGATGGAAGCCATGGATGCGAGGAGGCGTCCTCGGCGTCCCTCGGCGCAGGTCCAGACTCTCCACAACGCGCCATGCCCATCGTGCACTGGCCAACTACTCGGCCTTCGACCAAACGTGGCGCCCGTCTAGACCGACTAACTCCCTACACCATCGCCCATCGCCCATCCACCGCGGAGCCCGAGCAGCGACTCTTCCCAGTTGGGTGCCAGTGTGTGCTCACAAGGTCTCAGTGGTGTTGGCAGAGTCGGCCCCCAATCTTGTCGCAGCCCGCCTGCTTGCGCACTTTTTGTCCTGGATCGGTCTCCAGGTTTCCTCTAGCTGATCTTGGTGGGATTTTCTGGGGTTTCGGCACTCCCCATCCGATGTTAAGGCCATTTTAATACGGGATCCTCTTCAAAGAATGAGCCCCTTTCAAATCTTTGCGCCTTGGGTGTTTTAGTTGCCCCTTGGTTGAACCATGTGAGCCGGACTCCGTCGAAGTTATGGAGTGATGAGGATGGGCTGGACAACTAGCCGACTACCGAGTATTGAACTTGTAAATTGCCCGTCTCAGCTGGGCATGCCAAGTTGCTGCCTCTGCAGCGTACTGGGTAGAATCAGTGACAAGCGAATCCGCTGTAACCCGGCTCGGTCTGTGGCCACCCTTTTTGCGCCTGGAGAACTGACCACCGCTGCTTTGAGCTGTCTGGAGAACGGACTCCTCTCCTTGACCTTCTCGTGGGAGGTATTGTTTGTGGTGACATCTCCATCAGTGGGTAAAGGCGCCCTGCATCGCATCGTTCGCACTATTTCTTCGACAAATGCAAGAGGATTAGACGGACCTGGTGCGTCCCGTTCCAATCGCATAATGCATCCACTGACTGGGGCTGTTTCTGGAGGCGTCTTGTAGCATTCGAAGAAAGGCCAAATGCACGATTCCACCACAGCTCGAGTCTCCGCTGGCCTATTGTAGACTAGCTGGTTCCCTTGAGAAGAGGAGGAAGTCAATGCCAATGAGCTTTCCTTGGTAACCGAACGAGCCTCACTAGCATACCTCTGAACGGACGAAAGTGTTCGGTTGGTACGCCCCATGCTAACCCAGCATGAAAGTAGACGCTATCTTCATACCCGTTTCAGCTCGGTCCATCGAAGAAGAAAGGAGCTTCCTCGCTTGGGGTTCCCAAGAAGGAATGGGGATAGGGATGATGAGGATGAATGGCCCACCCTTAGTCTCTTCGCACGCAACCTTGCATTAAGTCTCGGGGTCTCCCATCACGCTGCAAAGTTTGACGTGAAAGCCCACCGCTTCAGCCAGCCGCAATTTACAGTAAAGCCCGATTCTCGCGGGTAGGCCTTCGCTCGCGACGAAGGTGCAAAGCGTGTAGGGGACATAGTCGTTCTTGACTCTTGCCAACCGTCGATCATCACCAGGATGATTTGAGCTTGCGTTCAGATTTGATATTCTTTGGACTCACGCAGAGCCAAGCATCGCCCATCCATTCTCTGGCCCTTCCTCCAGTTGAAATTTTTGACCACCCTGGACGAGTGACCGATTCTGCGTCGCGAGGGATTCGCGAGAAGAGACCAGTCTGCAACGGACAGTGTCTTGTTAACTCAGTGCGAAAAGCATGGATTCTCATCTGCGGTGGCAACTCCCAGCAAGTGTTGGCCTCGTAGCCAACCAGAAATCATCCGCAATGATGGCTGCCCCTGACATTGTGCCGGTCTAGCAATGCCACCTAGGGTGACGAGCGATTCCAGAGAACAAGGACTGAAAGTCTCAATGCTGTGAATAGAGCAATGATCGTCTGGAGACCAGCCATCTCTCGCTGGACTCTAAACGAGACTGTGTGTTTATGGCAAGGGCGTTCGCAACGTCTGACATTGGGTCAGCGCTGTTAGAATCACGTTGTCGCTGACTCTCAGGCACAGTCATGCGTCCAACCTGCCACAGTCCTGACAAGTCGCAACGGAATATAAACTTGGTATGACCACCAAAAGGGCATTGGGTCCTTCAAGCTGAATATATCATCTTCCCAGGAAGCCAGGTGGTTGAAAAACGAAGCCAACTGTCGAATGCAGTCAATGAGGCCGATTCTCAAAATGATCAGGTCGAGCATCGGCTTAAAGCACAAATGGAGTAGATCTTGGCCAAAGCAGTACGTCCCGGATATCTTTGAATCTGGCATGGCCACGTCTGCCTGTAGAGCGTTCTGTGCAACTGCAGGAGCTTGTTTTGTCGCTTGCTTATCAGCATCGCCTTCATTGGCGAGCAAACATTCTAGATAGGCTCGAGTCAATTGCACCGACCCACCCAGGCCGTGGAATAACTGGGCTGCAGCCTGAGCCTGGACAGAAACCTGCACCGGGAGGATGATTTGTGCTACTCCAGATTCTGTTACTTGCTCTTCAACACAGAAGTCAATTCCCAGGTGCGTTGTGAAGTCATGGCCTTGATTGCGGGCGAATGTGTGAACAAACCGTAGCATCGACAGACTGAGCGCAGATTTGGGCTCCAAGAGTTGCTGACAGCCAGGATGTGGTGATCGGCTGGCGGCAAATGCTCTAAGAGAACCTCTGACAATGATAGCAAACGTGTGGTACCTGTCGAGTCCGTCCACGTCTTGTTCCAGCTTCCACGGCATGGTGCTCGTAATGGTCATCTGGGAAACAGTATTGTACGTTTGACTAAGCGTCCTCCGTGGGAGCGCCGTCCGGGTCGAGTGGGCGTGGACTCCATTTTGGCTCAGACTATGAAGCAGATACCTCCGACTTCCACGCGTCTTGTTAAGCACATTGTGTACCTCATCGCGTGATTTGACGTGATGCATTTCGGGGGCGGGTAGTCCTTGACTGGCTGTGTATAAGAGAAATGCTTCTCTTGTTGCAAAATAGGGGATATCGTTCACTCGAAGGGAGAAGCATTGGCACCGGTTGCTTTGCTCAATCACACTCCTGGCTTGTGCTTCAGTGCTTGGATCTGCACTGCTGGTGCAGTTGATCCAAAGTTCAGCATGCTCCTGCGCTATGATCCGAAGTAAGGATGCGATGTACGCCACTTGGCGGCTCTCGTCGGATTTAGGCGGCAAGCGGTAGAAGTGGCTTAATGCATTGGAGAAGCGCACATGGATAGGAAATCCGTCAGGTTCGTAATCAGCACCCACAACTGTATGACCAGTCCTATGAAACGCCCTAGCCAGTCTCAGTCCGTGGGGGGAGTTCACACCAGTGATGAAAATCGTCCTCGATTTGAACCCTGGCACTCTCTTCAGACGCTGGTGGACAGATCTCCACGGGGAGATCGATATACACAGGAGATTGACGACCAGAAGCAACGTCGACAGTGGAATGCAAGCAGCGGCCACGAAGGCAACGAGAATGTACTGGACGGATATTGTCAATGGCATGACCGAGGATTGTTGAAGCGAGTGATCGACGGCATTGAGATGAGAAGACTATTAAAGAATGTTAATAGTTGGGCTTTAGAGTTGATGAGCCGGATCGACGTTAGGCACATCGGATACGCAATGATCGACTCACAGCGGGATCTTGTAGCCATGTCGCTGATTGGAAGAACGTGTTTTGGTGCCACAGGGCAAGGACGACATCGGGCTGAGAAGCAGTGAGATCATGAAGGAGAGGTGTCGAGAGGTGTTTTGGGTCATGGGGTCGTCTGACAACGTGGATTATTCTGATCCAATCGAGCTTTGTAGGGCAACTATGGGCAGCTATGGTGACCACAGTAGGTATTCAATCGGAGAATGTTTTGGTCAGACAGCAAGCATTATCGTCCTCCACTTGCGTACGAGGGCAACACAGGCGAATTCTGTACTTGTTAGGTACTGGTAGGGGCGCCACCCAGACAGCTTTAACTGGACGGACCCTCCTGCCGACGAGATTAAGCTCGCCCGATGTCCAATGGCTGGGCCCCCCTCGCCATCTCGGCCTGGACCCGCCAGCCCGTGCCAGCTGAAAAAACACAAGTTATAACATGTGCCACTGTGTTGACAGCGTGATGGGTGCAAGCATCATCATACTCCCTCATGCCGCATTGGAAATTCCTTCACCTGTCTCAATCCTCCTTCCACTCTTTTGTACCTCGCTAATATCGGCATTTTCGTCCCCTATACCTCCACTATTGAAGCCCCGTGCATCTTGATATCGTGCTTTGCGTTAAACAACGGTCCACGCTGCCCTAGTGCTGTCTAAGCGCGCTTCTATGGTCTGAGGCGACAATAGCGCGTCGCAATCATGGCTCACCAAGGTCAAGCAGCGGGTTACTACAATCAGACCATGGGAGGCGCCCCATATCAAGAGCAGAATTATCAGCCATATCCTCCACCTTCGAATGCTCCGCAACAGCTGTATCCACCCCTTCAACAGCCACACCAACATCAAGAACCCAAGTACGCGATTGCACCTCCCCTTTATGGTGAGAACTTTGTCCCTCCTCAAGACGACAAACAGACCTTCCAGGAGACGTTCAAGATCCCAAAACCCAAGTTCCATGATGTGTGGGCCGGATTGCTGGTAAGCACCCCAAAACCCCTGGCGGCTGCCCGGCCGCGAACCTGTGCTCACAAGTTATAGCTCATTGCAACCTTCTGTGGATTTGTCGCCGTCTCAGGACTCACTTTGTACCGCTATTCCAAATATCATGGCTTCAACGGAGGAGGAATCTACGGGGCGTCGAACGATTTGTAAGTCCCCAATGTCTTTGGAAGACCGATTCGGACTCGAAAAGGGTTGTTCTCTGCCGACGTGCTAACAGGCCTCTGCAGCTCCCTGGACACCAATACCCTTATCCTCTTCGCCTTCATCCTATGCGTCGGCCTCGTCTTCTCCTGGGCCTACTTCCTCGCCGCTCGCGCCTTCACAAAACAATTTGTCTGGCTGACTGGCATCCTCAATTGTGCCTTGGCAATCGGCACTGCCGTCTACTATCTTTACCGGCATCTGTGGGGAGCAGGCATTGTTTTTGCCATCTTCGCCCTCTTCGCCGTCATTTTCTTCATCAGCTGGATCCCACGCATACCCTTCGCGGTCGTGATGCTACAACAAACAATGGACGTTGCCAGAATGAGGCGAGTGCATGTATTCTGGATCAGCTTCATCGGCGGAATGGCTAGCGTGGCATTTGCTGCCTGGTTCTCCGCGACCCTCGTTGCGATTTACACGTCTTACATGCCTGGAAATTCCAGCAGCGCGGCCAATCCATCCTGCCCACAGGCGGGCTGCTCGAGCGGCAAGGTGATTGGACTCGTGGTGTTCGTGACATTTGCGGGTTTTTGGATTACAGAGTGGATCAAGAACACTATTCACACCACCAATGCGGGTGTGTATGGTTCGTGGTATTTTTGTGCTGGTAAACCAGGTGGAATTCCGCGAGGGGCAACCACTGGGGCCTTGAGGCGGGCAACAACCTACTCCTTTGGCTCCATCTCCTTCGGCAGCCTTATTGTTGCACTCATTAATATGCTCCGTCAAGCATGCAGTATTGCTCAACGGCAAGAAGCCTCGGATGGTAACATCGTCGGGACTATCATGTTTTGCATTCTTGGCTGCTTCATCAGCATTCTCGATTGGCTTGTTCAATTCATCAACAGGTACGCATTCTCTCACATCGCCCTTTACGGAAAGGCATACATCCCGGCGGCCAAAGACACGTGGAAAATGATGAAAGACCGAGGCGTTGATGCCTTGGTCAACGACTGCCTCGTGGGGCCTGTCCTCACCATGGGAAGCGTTTTCGTGGCATACGTCTCGGCATTGCTGGCATATTTGTATCTCGAATATACTCATCCGGCATACAACGAAGGGCGGACCTTCACACCAGTCATCATGGCGTTTGCTTTCCTCATCGGTTTGCAGATCTGCCAGACTTTTACGACCCCCATCGGATCTGGGGTGGACACCATTTTCGTGGCCATGGCTTGGGATCCCCACGTCGCCATGACAGATCATCCAGAATTCTGGGAGCGCCTCGTGCACGTCTATCCTCGGGTCCAACAAGTCCTAACTGGCGTCTGAAGGCGGTCCTTTCGGGTATGTGGAAACTTGTTGCGGTCATGCATGGTTTGGTCCACAGTGTATACTTGTGTCGCCCCGTGGCCTGGTCCGTTGACAGATCATCTTACTTCTAAGCCTGAAATGCAAATATTCCTTCAACAATAGGACACGCTCCAATCTCCCAGGCACTTTCGCGGCAAAGCTTGTTGCCATTGAGTGCTTCATTCTCAGCAGTGTTTGTCAGATTTCGACAGGATTGAATAGGCTGGGGTCCTCCCTCCTCCCACGGGTAAGCCAGGCCGACAGCGTCGAGAGTTGATTTCCTTCAATTCCCCATCGCGGAGATTCCCTTCTGCAACCGGTTGGATCCACGTACTCGCACGACGGTAACGGCAATTTCGCATTTCCCGGTCCCCATTGACACGTAATTGCGGTTCACATACTCAATTACTCAGAATGACTGAAGAGCTTCCGGGCGCTGTCCAGACTTGATGTCTTGCAATAAAATTGGGCCTGCACATGCAGCCCCAGTAGAGCACACGGGGCGGAACGACTTCGAAATTGTTTGCTATTCGGTCATGGCTCGCAAATCTGCGAAGTACTTACCAGCAATATCAATCAACCATATTCGGGGCCAGCCAGCCATGTTCAGGAGGCGCAGTGCTCGCACCGGAGACTGATTTGCCAGCTGCAGTGGCCGAATATCTGTGTAACACAATTTATTGGTCCGCCTAGTGCATTGCTGCCTTACCGTCCACATGTCAAGAAATAATCCGCAAAGCACCAAAGATGGGAAATTAGAGCGGCCACTCGGCTTTCGAGACTCCAGCGGTTATCCCAGTTGGGTGTGCGTCTCATTGGTCTCATCTCCCACGTTTCAGCAACCGAATGTGAGCCTAGATGACGAGCCACGGCCAACGAAACGTGGCGCAGTCTAATAGGAAGACGTCATGGAACAATATTGGCCTTCGTCGTGGTTGCTGCTTTGGAAATGTGGGTTGACTGATTGATCCGCCTGGAGTGATGTTGGTACTGCGCCACTGCTCGCCTGCTTTGGATGAGGAGAAAACTTGTCCAAAATGCCCTCTTGAAGACCATGCGAGTGTCGCGCATTGCCACCCACAGGTCCCAAACGTCAACACGTCATTCAAGAGTCCACATGTCTCTCGCCCCGCGTCCCAGTGCTCGGGGAAGCGTGAAATCAGCGTAGAACAGTGATAGCCATCTCTCCTGTTCCTGGTTGTCATTTGTCGCATCTCGGAGCAATCAACTGAAGGCGGACATTGCGATTAAAGCCAGACCAAAGGGCAACCAAAATCCCCAGCACTCGTACCTTGCACGCGTGCTGCATCTCTTGCATGTTCTGCATGGTCCGACGGCGCTGATCTTCTTTTCAGCTTACCTGTGCACGGGCTCGTCGCGACAAGAAACTCAGCACGGAGAAGCCGCGCCGATCAATGCGAGTAAGTGAGATGGCGAAAAGGCTTCAGACACCAGCAGTTGGATGACATTACTAGCACCCAACCGGATCTCCGCCAGTCGCATTACGTATCATGCCCAGTGAAAAGCAGGATGCGGACGTAGCCATGGCTATATTTAGATGGTAATCGCCGTCCCACACAGCATCGTCGAGTCGAATGCTCAGAGGCTGTCGATTCACGGTTTGCTGCGTTGATTCCCAATCGGTACGTACAAGTGATTAGAGAAACACAAGATCTCGAGAGGAACGGCCAAGGTTTTGGAATCTCGATAGCAAGAATGATTCACAACGCAGATGCTCCATTTTAGCCGTGCAAGCCGATCAGATCAGCCACAGCCACACCATGGTGGCGTTTTTGCCAAACCTGCAACTAAACGGAACCGGGAGGAGTTGTGCTGGTGTAATGCTGTAATGTCAGCAGGGGGGCCAGCCCTTTTCTGCATGCTCGGATAGGATATCGTAACGTCGTCCCAACCTTGTGCAACTGCACAACCCATTTTTTTTGCTCTGCTTGACCGCGTCCGCTGACGTCTTGGAATTTATGGGGTGCGGGAGTTTTATGTAGCCGATGGCTTGGGGGTCATGCGGCGCTTTATATGTTTCGTAAGGGGGGCCGGCTGACGGCACCGAGAAGAGCTCAGCAGCTGCCAACTGCGCCTCGGAGACGGTAGCAAAAGCTAGCCCCTAAGCTGGAACGAGCAAGCGAGGGCATCCAACGTTATCCATGGACCATAAGATCTGGGTTCTCATCTAAGGCGAACCACCCAAACGCTTCTCAAAACTTGTCCATCTCTTGCGATTGGCATAGGGAGCAGTCGGACGCGCTTTTCAAGGCCAGTTTTTCCTGCCTGCGAGGAGGTACCGACTTGCCCGTTTCTAGGGTCTTTTGCGGCACCCAATCGCACCGCCGCGTCGTAAGGGCGGAGGGCCGTTGCCTCTGGTGGTTTTCTTTGTCTCCCGACCAGACCCAAACAGTCCATTGCCGGCGCCGTGGCGAACCCAAGTGCCCAAGTGGGTATGGTCGGGTCGAGGCAAGGGGACTTGAAGGACAGCGAGAGGCAATGGTGGCTTCTGGCGAGGCGTGGAACTTTGGGGTACATGCCTCGTACTTAGTGACGGGAAGGCCTTGGGGCCCTATCCATGAACGGATGTCACTCGCGCGTCCGCGGTGAGCGGGAACTTTTGCTGGTATGTTTTGCTGATGATGATTCCTTTGCCCCCATACGGAGTCCCTACGGAGCTTACCAGCTGCCCAATCATGTGAGTCATCAATGGGGACAAGACTCAAGAGTGTTCCTTCTTTACTCACAAGTCATGTGGGTTCCCAAAAAACCCAAAAATGGGGATTTCACACAACCTTTTGACACACCCTTGCGCACACGCACACACCCTGGTCCCCAGGCTCCCACGTCAGTCACCTCAGAAATCAGGCATGCACTTCCCGTCTGATGGTCAGCTGTATGGTGAGGGAGCTACTGCCACTGCTGCTAGTGCTATAAAGCGCAGGTTCCGCTAGCAGCTCTGGCTACCGTCCTCTGATCTGGCCCGATGTGGCGCATGATTCGCTGCTTGAACCTGCTTCTGGGAACAGCTCATCGCGCGGCTATCTCGAGGGCGAATACTTATTAACCCGGTGAGGCATAACCCTTCGGAAACATCATGTTGCACAGCCTTGCAGGCACCAGAGCGTCTCGTCAAACCATTCCCCTTCTCCATACTATATCTCTGGGCGACCCAAGGTACTTCTTTTCCGTGCCATGTCGGTCGCTTGAACTGTCCTCGCTCCTCCCTCAACATCGTTGCCATCTCCATCTCCTATCCAACCCCCGGTCATTGTCATCATGATCATGAGAGATAACTATCCGGTCTCGCCTCCAAGCGACTACGATACAACATACACATCGATATCCACCACTGCCACCCCCGACCCGAAGAAAGCGCACATCATCATCATGGCAGACGAAATCGTGCCTTCGCTGCCCGACCCATCCGTCAAGCTCCAAGGAGCTTTTCGCCGCACCAGGTCACCCCCTCGCAACGAACAAGGTCAGATGTACTGCGACCACATCAACTGTCGTGGCAAGAACATGACCTTTAAGCGAGTGTGTGAATGGAACAAGCACATGGACAGACATGAAAGACCTTACAAGTGTCGTGAGGCCGGCTGCGAACTCAACCCCGGATTCACCTACTCAGGCGGGCTCCTGAGGCACCAGAGGGAGGTTCACAAGATGCACCTATCTACCAAGCAGCCACTGTTCTGCCCCTTTCCCAACTGCAACCGAAGCTCAGGCACCGGCTTCACCAGGAAAGAAAATCTCGAGGAGCACAAGCGGCGGAGACATTTGGAGGAGTTGTCAGACCACGGCCCGCACGAAGCGACCTCGCAAGCTGCTGCCGGAACGGCGGCGACCTCGACAATCGCCCAAGAACCCGCACCCAAGCGACGAAGGATCTCGACGGCAACAGAAGGACAGGGGCAGGGGCAGGGGCAGGGGCAGGGGCAGCAACATCTCGGCAGCGACGTGGTGGCACCCAACATTGACAACATTGTCGGAAGCGCCGAGAGCCAGTTGATCCAGCATCTCAGAGAAGAGCTGCGACAGAAGGAGGAATTTATTCGCCGCCAAGCGGCCGAGATTCACCGCCTGCAGAATCTGTTGCGCAGTTTGCCACCACAGGCGATATATCATATGCAAAACCGGATGCCTGGCAGTGGCGTGGGATGAATTCTCAGGGGGGAGAATTCGGCGTTTTGGAACCCGGGAACGACAACTTGCAAGGACATGTGGGAGGATGGAATTGCGCTCTTTTGAAAGATACCATAGTCACGGTCACGCACACGCACGGAAGTCATTTTGTACTTTACTTACTACTCCTCGTCACTGTTAGAGCTTATACCATCTCGCTATCTACTCTACTCTCTTGGGGAAGGTAGAGATGACAGACAGTACCTCCTCCGCTAATGATGAATGAATGAATGAATGAAAATCCCCTCTACTCTGTTTGCTGCGTGCTTATTTGCTTGCTGGACGGCACGGGCAAAGGTCGGTTGGTCGGGATCTAGTCCGGAATACATCAAAGCACCTAGCGAGCTAGGTACCAACAGCGTGAGTCAACGTGGTAGGTAGATACCTAGATAGGTAGATACCTTTTGTGCTGGCTACCTGGGCTGGCTGACGTCGAGTCGTCGTGCAAAGTGAGTCGTCGCGAGGCAGACACACGATGCAGATGCCAAGGCGAAGGCGAATGCGGATGCAAGGGCCAAGCCCAAGGCAAACGTGTACCCCGTGACGCCAGGCAGCAGCGCTTGCATGTCCCGCCTCTCCGTCTTGCCGGTTTTCTGTGTTTGTCCGCTTTTGCTTGTTTGTTCGACTTTCCGGCTTGGCTTGTTTGCTTGCTTGTTCTGCCTTCCGACCTTTTTTCTTTTCGGGTTTCGCTTGGCTTGCTTGTTTAACTTTTTTCTCCTTGGTTCTATTCTTCGGGTTTTCTGTTTTGTCTTCTGCCACGCTTTTCGCTTCGCTTGGACCCTCTTTTTTTATTACCCAGGTAGGAAATTTGCATCCATGCACACTGCAAGTCGCCATTCTCGCCTTCGCCTCAGCTTTGCTTCCCTGCTTGTTGTCTTGGTTACTTGCTTGGCTATTTGCACCTTGGCGTGCAAGTGAGTTGCTGCCGTCGGATGGGCTTGCGCTCTTCGGCGATCGTACGATAGCAGGATGTGGGACTTCGTATGGATATTGGGTATGGTATTCCAACCAACGCATTCCCATCTCATTCAGCTTCGCTGGGGTCGAGTCGAGACGAGTCGAGGCCTGTCCAAGCCCATGACATGCTATATGCATACCTTCTTAGGTACATACATACATCCTAGGCACCGAGTAGACCTGCCCGTCGTCTATTGATCAATCCATCCTTCCATCTGTACCGTGGTATCACCTCTACCCTGCTAATCTTGTGACTTCGCACCATCTTTCCGTTCTTTACCTCTTGCCTATCCGTATCTACCCACAATCAGTCCTTAGCGTGCGCATACCTTTCGCCTGCTCGTCCATCTGGTTACGGATGTACTCGTACGTTGCCCTGCGCGGCTGCCTGGCTGGGCTGCTTTTTGCATGGTATTTAGGAGGTATCTATCCAGGTATAGGACAGGATCTCTTCCGCCAACTCATCGCCGCCAGCCCTCATCTATCTACAAGTACAAGTATCCGTCTCAATTCGCCCACTAGCGAGACGGCGACAGCGGATCGATTCTCCCCTCTCGTCAACATTAGAAGTATTTTCACCAGCCACCTCTTGCTAGAAGGATACACCCTGCGCCAGCTAGCGAGCATGGCCACGCGGAAACTGCCACACGGCGCAGAGATGGGAAAAGACATTTATGTGTATGGACGTGGGACCTCCGAGGAGAAGACATAACAAGGACAATTCCCTACAAGTTCTGGTAGATTTCCGTGGACAGAGCTCCAATCGCGGGCTCGCCGGCTCGGAAGACAAACGGCAGGGCTAGTATAAACAAGGACTAGAATCTCCGTTCCACAAGGTACGACTCGACGACTCGACAGCACGACCAATTTTACCGCGTACTTTAGCGTAGTAATTTCACGTGACGCGGCTGGGGATGTCACTGGCTGGATAGCCAAGACATGTAAAGACTGTCACGCTGGTCTTTTGGTCGAAGGCCTCGGACTAAACACCGATAACCCCTGTGTAATTTATCAGACCGTATACCAAGTATAGTCAGACAGGTGTTCGAAGACCTTGTACCAAGGACTTTGTACAAATACTTGTAGAATCTATCATGTCCTCCATTGAGTCAGAGGGAAGTCCTTGGCAGGTCACCTGACCACATCTTGTCTCGTCGTTGTTGCTGTGAAAGGAACAGCTCCACCTTCGTTTCTGTTTTGCAAACCCTCAGTCCATCATTTTGGTTTTCCAACCCATCATTTTCTCGTTCCGTCGTGCCATCCATTATCTCGTCGTGTTCCAAACCCTCTTTTTGGGGGAATTCCGTGTTTCAGTCTGGCATGTCTCATGATAACCATCATTCGGTCAGTCGTATGATATCCCCATAAGGCCTTGCCTCTTGAACCCTTTGTTGCCCGGTTTAATTTTCCTTTACTTGTGTCCAACCCTACCAAGACATCGCCGTTCCACTTTTCGGGCCATCAATCACAGCGCCATTCCCTTTCTGGGGCTGTCACGCCGTTCTCTGTCCTACCTCGTCATACCCCGGTCCCGGTTTGGTCGTGGTCTTTGGCTTGGCCTTGTCTTGCCTTTTGATATGAGGCACCACACAGCCCCCAGACCTTGTTGTCTTGGAGGAAAAGGAGGGTCTGCAAGAGGAGAGCTGGACCTGGGGAAGGAATGCCTTTCGACTGCAACGCTGCTCGACGCCGCCAACCGGCATCACCGTGAGGACGGCTGGAGAGCCCACTTCGCTCCCAAGACATCAGTCGACCTTCGAATCGAGATCGGCCGCGTCGGCCGTGGTGGCGGGCTACAGAGCTCAAGTCTTTCTTTAAACTTGCGTTTCGGACACGTGTGAGCCAAGGCAAATCTCTCCACCCAGGTCCGTATGGTCATCCCAATTCGTGAATTCGAATCCTGCCTACCACCTCGGGAAAGGTGACCAGGAAGCGACTTCCCACGCTCCAGTTGTCGTAGATGGTCACATGCTCGATGAATTTCTGGGTCAGGACTGTGGTTCCCATCAATACGTCTTGTTCAACAGCCGAGTCTAGACCGTGAGGCCAATTCACGCCCCATTCTGCCTGGATCAGAGGCGTGAGCCAATCTCGCAGCTTGTTGATTGCAGCGTCCCGAACTGGAGGTCTAAGATCCACATCAGCTTTGATCTCCCCAATGAGGCACAAATCATGGAGGAGATGCATACAGTGGTATTGTCTCAATCGCGCCGATGTGGGGAACCATGCATTGTGCAGGTGTCGGTTTCATCATATCAGGAAGTTTCTGATAATTTTCCAGGGTAGGTACCAACAGCCACTGTACGAATTATGTCAGTACCTCTTCAGAACCGGATTTGGACTTGCACCTCACCCTCATCATGTGCGTGAGCAAATAAGCCGAAGCCAGGCGTACGAAGATATCGGTATCAAAACTTCGAGAGACTTCACATGCCCACGAGGCGCAGTCGAATTTATCTGTCGCCCTACGAGGGCGGAAGAACAAGTCGACAGCCACCTTTTCTGTGGCGCCCAAGACATCCGAAATCGGAACACCGTTTTCAAGCATTCGCCGCGCGCCGTGCACGTAATCGGTGTACGTGCGGCTCATGGGTGAGTCATCGGGGATCACCAAGGGCAGGACAAGATGTCGAGGGACTCGGAGTCTTGTGACTTGGTCCTCTTGTGCCACACACAGATCCCATTCGTTCAATCTTGGTTGGCCGGATGGAAAATTCGTGATCAACTCGACGTACGGGGTAGCGGGCGAGGAAGCCACTGTCAATCCACTCATGGGGAGGTCCGTGGTGATCAGAGGGTATCGGGATGACTGTCTCGAGAGCCCGGCCAACGGCGATGGCGAATCTGATGAAACTGTTTCTGCCTGCTCTGTCTTGGGGTTCCCTTCGGAGAAACGTCGAGAGCTTGCGTTCAACTGTTTGCGAGTGTCGATCATTAGACCAATGTCTCATTCAGAGTCCAAATACACGGAAATGGCAGGCAATAGTAAAGAAAAGGTAGGGATTAGGGTCAAAGACTGCAGTATTCTGTCCTTCCCCCCAACCATGATTGTGGTGTCCAAATAAAAAAAAATAATAAAAAGAAAAAATCCCATTTCTTGTCCATGGCGCGAGAACGGTGGATGGCGGCGTCGACTCACCTGAGGGCGGTCCTCCACACGATTGCTCTGCGATCGTAGATGCAGTACCGGATGCCACAAGGCGCGCTCGGCAACGCTGGGGAGAATTGTGCCAACATCGGCACTCTCCCAAAGGTTCTTGGCTTCAGAGGTCCAGAGAGGGAGACCAAATCTGTCTTCAGATCGCAGTGCTAATAAGTGGCGCAAGATGGCTTCTCCTTCTGGAGGGGAGGCATTCCTCAACGAGGAAAGCAAAGTGGCGATGGGACTGGACAATTCGGGAGCCTTGCCCTTTGCCGAATCGGAAGTGACCGATCCCAAACTGGAGGTATCAGCTGGACTCTTACCGGCGTCGACCAGGGAGTCAGATCCGTCTACGTGGGACGACATGGGGTCGTCGACGTCGTCATCCTCGGGAGCACGGTTCGAGTACTGATGTAGAGCATTTGTGATTTCCTGATTTGATGCGCCGCTTCGGATGAAGTCGAACATGGCCTCGAGGCGCGACGTAGGGCCCTCGCGGATGCCATCGAGTAAGTTGTTCAAGGCGTCCTGATAAGTCCTCGACTCGTCCAAAGTGCGCTGCAGGGCGGCCCTCCGTCTCATATCCAGAGAGAGGTCGATGACGCACTCGGTGCCTAGGGTTTCACACAGATGGCAGGGCGGCGGGCTGCCGGTGCATTTGGTTTTGCGTTTCTTGCATGCTTCACACGCGGCTGAGATGCGAGCACTGGGTGTCTTCTTCCGGGAGGTTTTGGAGGGAGTTTCTTTGGCCGGCTTGATGGGCCGCGCATTAGGTGGTGAAGGCATCTGTCTCTGACTGTCTCTGACTCTGGCCCACTCACTCACTCACTCTCACTCACACACACTCTCTCTCTCTCCCCCTAGACGGCGAATTGCATCT